TCGGGACCCGCTGCCACTCCCGCCCGGGGGGTCCCGCAGCCCTTGCCGACGCAGAAGCCATCCCCGAGCGGCTGCAGACCGCAGCGAGGGAGAGTCTGAAGGTGGACGGGATTTCCCCTTGTAACGGTACCATAAAACGAGGAGTTTCTTTTAAACTTGGGGGGAAAACACACACACACACCCCTCAAATAAACAAACCAAAGTCATCTTCAAAGCCTCCTTCCCAGTTGTCCTTTAGAGCATCTTACAACACTTATCAACACAATGCTCTCTTGGGAGCTGCAGGTATTGACAAGAACGGCTTAACATGAAAATTACTGTTTCATAGAAAGTACTCGCAGGATAAAAATTAGGACTTTGAGGTATGAAACGATTTGTGGCACAGCTGGTATGTAAAATAAAACCATCAAACGTCTTGTCATAATCAAATATTCCCTATATCTGGACTAGCCACATTGCTTTTGAAAGATGTCGTTCCATATAAATGCCTTTAACGCCTGGTAGAAAATTTTTATGAACATGTTGACAAATGAAATAACTCGGGTTATTTGATTAGTGTCCATGTAATCTGAATATGGGATTGTATCGGGAAAAGAAACGTCAACACGTTAATGCTTTTGAAAGGATGGATTTTCGCTGCAATTAAAGAGTAATCTTATACCAATAAAAAGAGCGAATCACTCTCGCCGTGTTCTGTGATACAGGCATTAAAGAGGATGGAGTCAAGAGTTTGTGTTCTCTTTTAAAATCTTTTAAAATTGAACACTGGCCGAACGAACGACACTATTAAGGATAGTGGAGGTTTGGTAGCTGCCCCACCGAACTGGGAGGTTCCGCATCCTACCGCCCTCCCAGGAACGGGGCGGTGTACCGGTGGCGTCTCCTAATAATTCGTGGGAAACGCTGATTTGGGGTGCAGGCGACAGGAAACCGGGATGGACAATTCCCACTGAACTTCATATCACAAGAGGTTATATTTTTGCAGACTTTATGCAAATAGCGACAGAAGGCGTAAGAAGGGACAATTAGACATTGCCACCTGCCTTATGGAGCTTGAACCTGTGTGAGACAGTGAGGTAACCTGTGCCCCAGGCAGGGTAAGATCCGCACCTTACGGTCAGCTTCGCAGGTGCTTGGTCTGATCTTCCGTCGAGCAAGACCCCAGCAGGCGAGCCCGTGCGCCCGGGTGACCGGCAGTCCCAGGGCTGCGGCCCCGGCCTGGCCCGCCCTGCCTCCCCGCTCCCTTTCTTTGGGCAGAAGCGCTGACCCCACACAAACCTCGCTTCGGCTTCGGACCTGGCAGGCTTGCCCGGCGAGTGTGACAGCCACCGGAGGGGCTCACGCAGATCGGAAAACCAGTTTTGTCTAAAACAGGAGGCTGCGGTGGCGGGAGGCGGCTCTGCAGAGACAGCCCGCAAGCCCCCGCCGCGCCCGGCCCTCCTCGCAGGGGCTGGAGGAGCAGGGAAGGGGCGCTAGCAGAGCCATAGCCCTCCATTCCACAGGGTGTTTCTGCCCAACACTAACCGTGGCAGGACCCAGCCGTATCCTTCCTTTGTGTATGCTCACCTAGCCTTAAAACGTCCCCCTGGCCGGGCCCTTTGGAGAAGGCAGGTGAGCCATCCATCTCTCTTTGCAGAGTCAGAGAATATATTAGAGACCAGAAAACGGCAGTGCACATTCTGCACGTTATCGGAAAATAGTTACCGCAGATTTTTTCTTGTTAGTGCCTTACTCGGCTTTGGAGACTCTCTTGAAGTCTGCCGCGTTATTTTACGAAACAGTCCTATATTCACAGGACACTGGGGGAAACTGGAGCCATCAGCATTTTTATTTCGTTTCGAAAGGCCACGGTGTGTGCGGGGAAGGACGGCTGCCTCGGGCAGGGGGTGGCAAGGGCGGCCGGGACGCAGTGCCGGGGCTGCTGCTCCCGGGGACCGCACAGGCTGCGGACACTAGTGGGCACCGTCGAGGCCGACGGCCGGCGGAGCGGGAGGAAGGGGGATTCCTGCTGCCCAGCAGCCGCTTGCTCATTTTTTGTGAATGTCGCCAGAGAGGATGTGGGTTTCTTGTATTTCTCCGTGATCTAAGTAATCGCTGGGTCTCAACTGGCCACTGCTCAAAAACCTTTAAAGTGGTGAGCTCAAGCAGTGCCTTCAGCTGTTAGCTGGGCATAGTTAAATCGGGCGAAAGGCTGAAAAACGGTGGACGCTCTAATCTCTTCTTGATAAGTCCCCGACCGCCGCCGCGGTTGGATGTGTCTGAACTTGGTCCAACACAGAAATAGGGAACCGAAACCGAGATGCTTTCCCCGAAGTGCAAATTTTATTTCAGACTTGCAGGCAGCAGCTGATACCGCACAAAACACGGCAAGGGCTGCTAGAATGGATGCGACGGGGAAGGGGCTTTGCGCGGAGGCGGCAGGAGCGCCGTGTCCACGCGTGTCCTCGTCGGGCGCAGAGAGAAAGGGCCCGCCGCCTGCGCGACATCCCACCGTTGCCCGATGGAGGCGGGTAGGGCTCAGGGCAGAGCTGCCGTGTGCTGTGGGGAAACAATCCAGATGCCCACGCCCATACCCCCGCACCGTGGCCCCTTCAGCGCCTCCCCGCAGGGCAGCGAACTCAGCCCGCCCGGGCCGGCCGTGCGCCCCTGCGGGTACCGGCATGGTCGGGGGGAGGAGGTATCACTTTTTACTGCTGGCACGTGGAAGCGGCTCCTGGCCGCAGCCTTACGGCTCAGCTTCCCGAGTGAAGAGGTCTCAGTGATGCAGTGGGTGTTTGGGGGACTGATGCCTGATCGGGCAGCGCGCCAGGGCCCCACAGGGGATGGATTCCTTCCACCTTGACTCGCGTTCCGAAGCCTCCCCCCAAGAAAGAAAGAGAAATGTCTAGTCCCAACTCCGTCATGCAAAGTGACTCTGCTCGCATCCCCCCCCGTGGCTCTTTTCATTAATTAGGGGCTGCAAAGGGTGTGGGGGAGGGGAAAGCGGCTGGAAGCCACTAATTATTCAAACTTTGGAGACAGCATCCAGATGAGCTGGGCCAACTCTTTAGGGCAGTGCTTTGTAACCTTTGTGTAACAGGCGGGGAGTGATTATGCTACTGTGCAAAGCCTCCATTAAGAGATTGCGTTTCATCGTTGCTCATCGCCTGCAGGATGTGTGCAGACTCCAGGGCGAGCAGACCAAGTTTTCCACGGAAAAGAAACAATTTGCTGTGGCACGAGAGGGCTGTGAAAACCTGCCCCTTACCCCCGCCCCCAGGCAATAACCTTTTTAATTGCACTCATCTGCGACTAGATTTTTCACAACTGCCCCCTCGCGCCAGCCCCCCACCCTCCGCTTTGTCACAGGTTTTTGCAATGACGCCCATCTCCTACAGCAACTTCTTTCCGCCTCGGCCACTGCCCCCCTCAGCCCTGGCCACCTCAAGGCTCCTTCCCCTCCCGAGCCTGGGAGAGACAGGCTTAGCGGGACGCGCAGCGATGCCCCGGAATGTGGCTGGGCTGCCCCTGTCCCTGCCTGGGCTCCCCTCCCGCCGCCGGCGGAGTCTTCAGCTCCGTTCCCCGCCGTCCTGCCCCGAGGGCAGTGCGAGAGGGAAGGAAAGAGGAACGCCCGAGCTGTGCCCCCGGGACGATGGAGAGGCGCCGGGGTAGCGATCCCTAACCTCGGTCCCTCGCTCGCAGCAGCTTTTCCCACCTCAGTATCCCGGAACAGGAAAGTCCCAGTTCAGCTTGCCCCCATAAGATCCTGTCTCCCTCCTCCCGCTCCCCTCCCTCTGCCCCTTCCTGCCTCTAGCCTTTGCGGGAGGAACCTCTTCTCTCCTTGTGGGACGGGGCTGACTGCTCGGGGCAGCTGCCGAGGCGGCGGGTTATGGGGTCTGGGCTCCGGGAATCATCTGCCTGGGCTCTGCCCCCAGTCCTGAGCCAGCGGTCCGGTGTCCGGCGGGCAGGGCTGCCTTGAGCTCTCAGGGTTGAGCTGAGATCCTGAAGTTAGTGATTCTTTTGTTTATTTGCTTGTTTTTGATTTTTTTTCTCTGCCCTCGGTGCTTCTGAAGTGCCTGTAAGATTTGCAGAGAGCGAGGGGGAGAGAGAGACTGGGGGAGGAGGAAGAATTAAGGAAGGGAAAAGATGGCGAGTTGCTGGAGAAGCGTGGAGAAAGCGGCATTTTTGTGCTGCTTCTTGCTGGCAATGGGGAGCCTAATCTCCTGCGCCCGCCCGGAGGAGGAGGAAGAGCAAGAAGAGCAGCGCTCCTGTCACGGTGCCTTTGATCTCTACTTCGTCCTGGATAAGTAAGTGACAGTCGCATTTAAAAACGTTTATTCACCCTTGAGTGACTCCTTGCAGCGGCAGGGACGTTGTTTCCCCCGTCTCCCCGCGTGGCTTTCCTTGATGCCAAACATGATGTGTGGGGCTGGTTGAGTATTTTTGCTTCACAAAACTTGCACGTTTTCAAGAGGAGCGCTTAGGGTAGCATTGTGCTTTATCCTGGCTTAGTTTCACATGCAAACCTGGGAGATCGGGTCGCTTTAAGGTTGTAGTGCTTGGTATGCGGGCTTTGAGCATTGCATTTGAGGGGATGTTGGTCAGTGCCCCCAGAACTCCTGGGGGTTTGTGTCAAGACTCGGAGTATGTGCTGAGATGTCACCAGTGGGACTTAGCGGTGCCGGGGCTGTGCAGACCTACCTAAAGTTAAGACCAGACTGCTTGTATGTGGTAGTTGCTTTTTTAATGACTCACTTATAATAACAAGGTTTTATAAAACTTATTTTTGCTGAACTTCTTTGGAATTGTCTAAACTTGTGTTTGAGTAACATCTATTAAAATAGCTTGTCAAATACTTTTCTTTAATACTATGTCAGCTGAATTCAGGTATGGCCAGGAGGTATGATTAAGCTCACAGGTATAGGCGTGTTACAGCAAGCACTAGCAAGGCAAGTGGTAAACTGGTGCACCCACAAGTGTTTTTCAGAAGGCATGAATTTCTGTTTCCCCTGGTGTACTGCTGGCTTGACAAGGGTTTAACTCAAGGAGTAAATTGTTAGTCTCCCACATATACTCAGTGTGATGGCTGTGTTCTCTAATACACCCTGGATTATCTGTATGACATGGTATTATGAAAGACGGAAGACTTTTCTTCATGATTCTTGCCCACAAGTGAGGTATAACTCTTCACTGTGCTGTTTCCCAGTTGGGAGAGCTATTCAGTCCATAAGGCCTTCTGCACAGCCTGCAGGAGGCAAAAAGCCACCATCAGTTAGGATGTACATTCCTGTATTCAAAAGGAAAAAAAGTAAGTATCAGTAAGTAGTGATTCTGATTTTAGAGCAAAAGAAGCTGAAGATTAAAGGCCTTCTGTCTTTCTAGAAGATGCACTAATAGAAGTGGTCATTGTTTTGTTTTTCTTTCGCTAAGAACTTATCCCTGAAGTAACTTATGTGTCTAGAAAGAGCTCTGTGGAGGGCTATTGTTAGTTCTCAAATTTATTGCTGCCAGGCTTTCTAGGAGTGACTGGTACTGTTGTTATGCCCAGTTCCTGTATTGAATTCCCTGTAACAACGAATGTTGGTGATTGCAATATGGGTTCTCTGTCTTCTATAGTGCAATTTCCTTGTTTACAATGACATTGAGTACTCCCAGCAATCCCCACACTGTGCTTCTATGCTACTTTTCATCTGTAGATCAGGAAGCACTTTATTGGCTGTTATTACTCATGTTGTATTTGGGGAAATAAAGGCAGAGAAGAGAGCAATTTGCTCAGAGTTACTAATCTGTCAAGCAATAGGAAGTTGATCATGTAAGCAAGTTTCTCTCCAGTACTATATACCTGAAATAATGTGTTTTCTTTTAGCAAGCTACAGGTCTTTTATTTTGTTTCAGGTGCTATCCTCTTACTACAGTGGTCCACTAGAAACTGGACCTGATTATGGTTGAAGTAAAAAATCATGTGCTTGGGTTCCAGCAGGAAAATTCTCCTTGGCTTTAGCTGCAAATTGAGTCTTTATGAGCTGTAAGAGTTACATCAAAGAGTTCCTCTTTGGTAAAAAGCTGTAATGAGTTACTTAGGCTCCTGAGCGGTTTTAGAATCTATGCCTGCTCCTACCAAGTCTGTGACAATGTGGTGGCAAAGCTGCTTTTTGTCTCAATGAGATTGCATTACAATCCATATGGGTAATATTAGAGTACTGGATCTTGGGAGCCATAGGTCCCATGCTGGCTGAGGGTGTATTTAGTCCCTGCTGTATTCTGTGAGATCTGGCACAACACGAGGAGCTTTATGGAGGCAGGTAGAGAATAAGTGAATAGACTTTGGATCTTGGGACAGTTCATGAGGAAGGATCTAGGTAACTCTTTAGTGTTGAGAAGGGTCAGGGTATTCCATAGGGATAAGGCAGGAAGCCAGTCAGAAGCAGCTGGTAAATCTGTAAATGCAGTGGACACCTTATTTTATAATTGGTTCCATGCTGATACATATCTGGTAAGAATTCTGGCTCTGATTTCTAATGGGAGAAACCCCCCAAAAACCCAGCCATATACACCACAGAGTATCCTCATATGGCTTGGGTATTGCCTCCCTTTGTTGATGCCTTGCCAGTCTGAAGTTAGATGCATTCAGTCTTAATTAGCTGTCTAACAGTGGGACTGAAGTAGTGGCTCTGTGAAAACTCCAGGCTTTAATCCTGTGACCCTCTAGTGAGCTCTCTTGCTGAATGACAGGCCCTGTCTCTAAAGTCAGCTTGAGTGAACCAAAATGACTTTAAGTCTGCTTGGCTTTGCTTCCCCATAGAAAGATGTAATCACACATCAGTAGGAGGCAATTTGGAAGAAGTCAACAAACCTTTCTCCTTATGCAGTGTGTGTTACTGCAATGTCTATACTGGGGAGTGATTTTTGCTTTTTATTCTGCCAGGCAAAGTCTGTGGGGATTTAATCCTACAGGCAACAACCATCAGATGGAAAAGATCATCTTCTGGTGAAGTTATTGGTATAATATATATGCTGCCAATTAGAAGAAGAAACTCACTGCTTTCTTACAATTCTTCCTCTGATTGCAGTCCTTTATGTTAACTCCATAGGATAGGCAAGATCACAGCAGTGGCACTAAGCCTTAGACGCCCAAGAAGCTGGCATGGTGAAAGGGAAAAGCAGCATGTGTGGGAGGGAGACCAGCCATCATCCTCCTTAGGATTGACCGTGCCAGAGCCACGTTAAGATTGCCTCAAGGAGCAGATCTCTTGAAGCTAGGAGAAGTGGACATTCACTGGCTGCAGAGGCGGCTGCCTCGAGTCTGCAATCTTTTGCTGTTTGTGTGTCATTCTTTATGAGTTATGCAGGCTTGAGCTTATTTGGAGGTGTAGTGGAAGACTTTAAATTATCATACCGAAGCAGCAAAAATTTTTCTGTTTGCAGCTAAGTCACTTTGTCTGCATGAGGTAAGGCAATGTACCTTTCAGTTGGCATACCCATCTCTCCTCTGGCATGTAGTAAGATCAAGTCACCTGTGATAGCAAAGATCTTGTTTTTACCTTTAAACAGTCGTAACTCTTAAACTCAACATAATGGATCGTTGAGTAGTTCTCACTTGCTGTGGTTGCTTCATTTGCTTAGGTTGTCCAGATGCAGAAAGAACTTGTTTCAGTCCCATCCCAAACTGTGGAGGACAGATCCTGTTAGAGATTTGATTGCTTGACCATCAGGTCTTGTAGTGACGTACTTGAATATATAAATAACTCCTTTCATCTTGCCTTGCTGTTAACATCCAGCTGTTGTTTGTAATCATATTGAATTGCACTTGCAGAGCAGAAAGGATGACTGGCCTCTTGTGTTTCTTAATTTTATCAGTGCCTAGTAGCATCATTATAATTGTTTATTAGTGCAACAAATAGAAAGTCTTTTAAAGTAAGGACTTATAACTGCCATAAATATCTGCTTCAGGTGATGCTTGACATGACAGATCTGAGCTGCAGAGCTGTCTATGTTTTATATTTACCAAGTATGGAGAGATTTCCTGATTATTTTTGACTGTGAAATAGACAAAAGTATTTTCTTATTTTTTCTGCTGGGATGCTTGCTAAAAGTTGTTTGGAATTTGAGGAAAATGAGCTGCACAGCCTTGGGAAAATTTTTCCTTTTTCCACAGCCCAGATGATGGAAGTGAAAATGTATTGATAAGGCCTTGGCTGGTTTTGTTTCGTTATAACTGATTTTTGGGTAGTCTGGCCTAACTACCCTCTCTCCACTCCTCGTGTTCCCCCTCAGCTTCTGGGTAGTATCTCTTTGAGGCTCTCTTGTCTTTTTGGGCCTATTACCTTTGTTTTACTTTGTCTCCTGTGCTCCAGGAGCATCTCTGTGAACAGCAGCTTTGGTAAAGACATCAGTATGATGTGCCCAGCCTGTCACTTGTAATCCATTTTGCAGCTGCCTCTCTTTAAACTTGGTAAGCCTTGCTCCAGCGGTGAACGGTCACTGATAGGGAGCTGGTGGGGAAGAACACAACCTCTGATTAGATGTGAATTAGCTACCCTGTCCAACCTCCTTCCTGATTTTGTGTTTTGGGTCTGTGTCCCTTTCCTCAATTTGCCCTTGAAAAGGCAGTTTTGTGGGGATGGGAAGTGTCAGGAGGGAAACAGGTTGATACTTCCTAATTTGCTTCAGGCAAACCAAGAAGCTTTCAGAGCAAAAGGTATTTCAGGAGCTGCTTTTCAATATCAGCTTTTATAATTATAAATGTATGGGAAGAGGAAGAGTGGCTAACAACACTGTTGTGGTTGGAAGTCAGATTGCTGGCAAAAACAGGTGTCTGAACACATCACCTAACTTAGTTACGTTTGAAAGTTTTGTGTTGACTGACTTAAACCAGTGCTGAACTACCTTTTCTCTAAGCAAGAATACCTACCTACTGCAACCAGGCTTCAGTTCATTATAAGATGTAGAACCTGATGCAGGTCAGCTGAGAGGAGCTGCTGTCTGAACAGAAGCATCACCTTTGTTTCTTAGATAACATTGATTTCTATTTAAAAGTGGTTGTGACTATCTCTCTTCCTCCTTTGCTGCCTGACTTCTCCCTTTACAATTTGACCACATCATCTACATGATACCTCTCATAATCTCTAATTGCCTGTAAGCAATATGTTTTATTGTTTTCAAAACATAATCTGTTGGTATTTTGCCTTTGCATCTTCCTTTGTTGTGGTTTTATTGCAGGCAGTGCTGTGATTTGCCTACACCCAGGTATATTGCTCGGAATGTTTCAAAGCAAGTTTTTATTCCGCTTCAGACATACCTATGTTAT